AAAGAGCTGAAAACAGCAGGATAATTTTCCCTGCTCTGTATATACTCACTGAGATTCCGTTTCTGAGACTCTCCAATCTTTTTCTGTGTTTTCCCCACTGATAATATCAGGTGTGTTACTTTGGTCAGCACTCTGCTAAAGAGCAGAAAATTAAAAATGAAAAAATTTAACTTTTTCATACCTATATAAAAGATGTAATAAAAGAGCTGAAAACAGCAGGATAATTTTCCCTGCTCTGTATATACTCACTGAGATTCCGTTTCTGAGACTCTCCAATCTTTTTCTGTGTTTTCCCCACTGATAATATCAGGTGTGTTACTTTGGTCAGCACTCTGCTAAAGAGCAGAAAATTAAAAATGAAAAAATTTAACTTTTTCATACCTATATAAAAGATGTAATAAAAAGCCAACAGTCTTGTTAGAACCAATAGCTCACCATAAAAGATACCAGGTTTGTCAGTTAGGATGTGGATATGTCCTACAGAGCATAGAGATGTCTTCATATCAGTCACAGAAGACATCTTGAGGCCACTGCACTGTGAAATCCAACAGGAACTATGTCCAACAGGCCAACAGCATTTTACATGGTATGCTTTTTGCAGCAGAAACTGTCACTTACTGTAAGCTTGTATAATTCCTGGCTCAATCAAGCTCCTAACTGGACTATGGCTTCTGGGTTCTACCATAATGTAAGTAATAAATGTAGAACAAAAATGCATTATGCTGATAGGCTATGTCTAGAATACAGGGGTTTTTTGAAAAAAAAAAAAAAAAAAACACACACTTTACTTGCGTTTAGACTTCCGCCATGTTCTTTCGAAATTAAATCAAAAGAAGGCGGCATTTTTTTTTTTACTGTGATAAACCTCATTTTAGGAGGAAAAACGCCTTTTTTCAAAAGTGCTCTTTCAAAAAAAGGCATTCTTGAACGCAAATAGTGCTTCTTCAAAAAAGAGCATCCAGATTGCCTGGGTGCTTTCTTTAGAAAAAGCAGCTCTCTTTTTCAAAAAAAATGTCTAGATGAGCTCTTTCTAAAGACGCTTTTTCAAAAGCCTCTTTTGAAAGAGGCTTATAGTCTAGACGTACCCATAGAGGACTCAAACTTCCAGTTATATTCAGCAACAAAAGTAGAAACAACAACATAATTAGAGCCCTATTTTCCTAGTCTCTTCACAAAATACAAATGTTTTATTTCCAGTTAGTTTTGTTCTTCTAAATACCTGTTCAACTGTTCCCTCAGACTCCTGGGGAGTTTTGTCCTTTCTTTCACCTTGAACTGGTGCTTCTCTCTTCCCAGATGCTCCTAATACATTAGGTTTAAATCGCTGCCGACGCCCCGTCGTTGCTGCTTTTTCGGTAACAGCTTTTTCAGTGTCTCTACATAAGAAAAGTAGTAATGCATTCAAAATTGGCATTTGTGCCATTCAAGCCTATTAATGTCATCTGGGACACAAGAAAGATGATCTTCAATGACCTGTACAACTGTCTTTATTAAAAAGGACCTTAAATGCAATGTTACCTTTGGGTTTTTTGGTTTTTTTTGCATATGTTTGTACATTTCTTTGATGTGCAGAAGCGGCTTTGATCTGAAACACTACAGAAAATCCTATGAGACACTTGTTTAAATATTTATAGTCAGTGGTCCAAGCCCCTTCCAATAGCTTCGGTCTTCCAAGCTCAAGAGAATCATATGACTTGCACTCTATAGGTCCTGCTCCAATCTGCAGAAACTAGACATCAGGTTGTGGAATGTGGGGAAGAATCAAAGTCCTTAGCATATACCTTTATGAAAGCCTAATTTTATTCCTTGTAGTTTCAACTTCTCCTGCCTGGACATGATTTGTTCCCTCTCTAGTATTGTTCAAGTCATTAATAAAACTTATGAACTAAAAAGAATGGATTGATATTTGACTCTTCAACATTCTAGGGGAAGAATGCAACACTTTCTTGATATTGCCATTCCATATTATCTTGGGAAATCTAGAAGCCAATGTAAAGACTCCGTATGCACTTGTCTCCTCATTATGCATTTTCACCACAGTTGAGGCAGATGGAAGGATTGTAACAGATCACTGTATGCAATAAACTATAAGATACTGCAGTAAAAAGTTAAGAGTTAAAGCAAAGAAAATATAATAAACTGATTTCTGCATACTCACTGGAATTCAGTCTCCAAATCTTTGATCTCTCTCCCTTTGGTTTTATCTGTGGTGGTTTCAGGTGTGTTAATTTCACAAGCTTCCGTGGTATCCTGAAATAAAATATTTAATTTTTTATATAAACAACAGAGAGGTGAGATACAGAGCGCTGGAGTCAAATTTGATTTGCAAAGTCAGAAGTCAGATGGGATACAATGCAGCTACATTCCCATTATATATCCCCTAAGTATCCAGCTTCAGTAACAAAAACCAAAGCAACAACTGAATAGGTCAGATACTGGCCAGCATGGACTTTCGAGTGATCTTAACGATGATCAAGAAACTTTGGTCATTCTCTCATCCCTGAAAATCCTTCAGCTAAATCGGAGTGGCCAACCTGCAGCTCTCTGCTCACTGAAATGTGACTCTTTAGGGTTACCATACTTGCATTTTTTCCCCAAACATGTCCTTGTTTTCCCATGTTAAATTGCCAACCAGACACCTTTTTTAAAAAACACAAAAAATGTCCAGGATTCAGGGAGGAGACAGTGGCACCTGCCTTCAAGGGAAGGTTTGATTGTCTTTCGGAGCCACGTGCCTGGACAGTTCACGGCTGCTCTGCGCACATGCCTCAGCACCTGGAGAAAAAAGCGCATGGCTGCGGCAGCTCCAGTGAGACCCAGGGTGTTGTTAAAAGAATCTGGGACTGCCTGGCTCTGGGGGAGGTGGAGGTGCACTGTGTTAGACCGGGGGGTGAGGGGTGAAAGACGACTGAGGCTGCCTGGCTCTGGGGGAAGGGTGGGCATTGGGTTAGAGCAGAGAGGCTCAGGGTGCTTTAGGGTTTTAGATATATAAAAATAAATATGTAATACGTGCCTTAGATATATAAAAGTAAATACATAATGCGTGGCTCTTTGCACTACTATCCACAGCTATTTTGACTCTTAATCTCTAAGGGTGTGTTTAGACTACAGGGTTTTTTAGAAAAAAGTGGCCTTTTTTTGAAAAAACTTCCCCTGCACCTAGACTGAATCGAAAGAACGCTGCAGTTTTTTTGACTGCGGTAAACCTCATTTAATGAGGAATAACGCCTTTTTTTGAAAGTGCTCTTTCGAAAAAGGATGTTATTGAATGCAAACAGGGATTTTTTGAAAGAGAGCATCCAGACTGCCTGGGTACTCTCTTTCGAAAAAGCAGTTCACTTTTTCGAAAGAAGTGGTTGCAGTCTAGATGCTCTCTTTCGAAAGAGGCTTTTTCAAAAGATTCTTTCATAAAAGCCTCTATCAAAAGAGGCTTGCAGTCTAGACGTAGCCTAACTGGTTGGCCAACCCTGAGCTAAAATGTTGAAAGTATCTCATCTGATTAATGTTCTATTCTCCAGGCTCTAGCCTCTAAATGTAAATGGATGTGATCTGCCTTCAGGAAACACTGTCTCCCAACTCCCTTGACACCACAAGTTATGACCATGTGAATTACTCTCTGCTTCGTATATGTGGCCATGCTACCTATGTTACAAAGATATTGCTGGCATGGAACCCCTTCTATCTCATTCAAACCTCTGATCTTATGAGTATTATTTCAGAACAGCACAAGGGTGTCTGTGCCCTAACCAACCCTACTCTCCCCTAAATATTATTCCCAAGCTCCCACTCTTTGCCAGGTTTTAAAAGCCACACGCTCTGGAAATACAGAGAGTCAGATAAAAAAAAAAAAAAGAGTAGTCCTTTTGGACTGGGGTTTCACTCTATGATCTCCACCTCAACCATGATCCAAATAGGGCACTTTTCATTCTCAAAGGAAGAATCAAAACTACTCTCCTGACCTCACCTGGATCACCAGCACAAGCCATCATCCACTTCAAGCTATAAGTAGCGTAATGAAAACTTCCCACTTAGCCAACATAAGTCTTTTACTAAAGCTGGAGTAACCAGACCTATCACAAGCATGAATAATAAACCTTGCTGCTGAAAATACAAGAAAACAAAACGGTCCAGGTTCATGCAATCCACAAAGCCTGTATCCCATACTACACCTGTAGCGAAGAAGCTTACATGCAGTTCACAAATAACCATTTACAAAGCTGCTACCAAGTCAGTACCAGGAAGTTGCTATAAGTAAGGCCCTACTTGAATTGAAGGATGATCTTCAAATAATTACAGTTGAGCTGCATGAAAAAAATTACAGAAGAAAAAATAATAATGGACCTTAGTTAAGAGCAGTAATTTGGGGGGAAAAAAAGCAAGAGTAGACCTACTTGTTTATATTGGTCCAGCAATTTTTTTAAACACTCAAATATTATGTTATACCTGATCATTTTTTTTGATAACCAAACATTCTCCTGAAACTAGACTATACCCATTAAAAAAGTAATTAGTACAATATAATATTCCGAAGACTAGAAGCCTTAACCAAACTGCTGTAGAAATCAAGTCCAGTCACTTCAGCTTTTTACAGACACTGAATGCTAATGCAGTTCTAATTACTTATTCAAAATGTATGCAAAATTATGGACTGTAAAAGAAGCTAATTAAAAATCAAAACTGTGGTGGAGGCCTTTACTGCAGGATCCACGATTTCAGCAATAGTGTAAATGAAGTAGAGCCTGAGTTGTAAGACCTATATTCCCTGCCTAGATAGAAAGTGCATAGAATGGGCAATCAAAACACTGAAAATACGTGAAGCCTGTGGGATTGACATCTCCATCAAATTCCTGAAGAACAAGGGAGAACTAGCAGACTATGGCTAGCCATGTTTCTAACTAGAGTCATCCACAAGAAAAAAATGCCCAAGATCTAGCAGATAGCAAAAGTAATAGCCCAGCCAAAACCAGCGAGAGACCACTGACTTGCAACAATTATCATACTACTGCTCTATTACAAATTAGTAAAGTATGCACAAATTACTTGAAAAGCTTATTCTTCAAAGAATTGTCCCTACTCTTAAGGATATCCCAGGTGTAGCTCAAACACATTTCAGACTAAACCACAATACCCATGATTCAGTACTGGTACTTATTGCCTACAACCAGGCCCACTGATGGGGGGAGGCAGGAGAAAGAAAGGGGCTGATTCAAAGGGGCTTGTAGCCCTGGGCCCTTTTGAATTGCCATTAAGAGTGCCACGTCACTGCTCCAATGGCTGGGGGAGCACTCGCTGCAATCCAGGTGGTGCTAAAGACTGACTGCCCTTGGCCTCTTGTCCATCTGTCTGAGGCCCCACAGAGGCTGTTGGCCCAGCTGCCTACAACAATAATGGCTTCTAGACCAGACAGAAGACAAGCATAGTAGTCTTAGATCTAAATGCTGCAGATGACACAATTTAGCAGACAGGCTTAGCCTACAAAATGTCTGTGTCTGGTCCTACTGAAGTGGGTTGTCCTGGCTATGGAACTGCTATTGAGAGAGGGTCAGTTTCAAGTTCTACTTTGATAAGAGACAAGCTCCTGGAAGTCTTGAAACAATGGTCTCTCTCAGTTCTCAAGTGTAGCACAGACATTCTTCAAATGTTTCAGAAATAACTTCCCCAATCACTGTTTTTTTAATATGCAGAAATCTGTCTGGCTGCAAAGGACCAGGATTTCAGTTACAAAAAAGAAGCCCTGAACACTAAACATGAAAGAAATGGGAGACAAACCTATCACCAAAGAGACAGCATCCAGTTATTTCCCTCTATACCACACAAAGGTTAAACAGCCCAATGTCTTTCTGAATGGACAAAAGCTAGTGCATCTAGGTGTCAAATTAGACCACATCTTGATTTTCAAGGAAATCCTTCATAAGATGTTGCTGAAAATAAATACAGCCTCACAAACAGATCAGTAAATAGCTGGGGTCTACTTTGGAAGCTAACGTAGAAATATTGAGCCTCTATCTACACTACCGCAGAAAGTCAACGTAAGATATGCAGCTCCAGCTACATGAATAATGTAGCTGGAATCAACTAACCTTAGGCCAGCTTCCTATGGGATCTACACTGTGAAGAATCGATGGGAGATATTCTCCAGTCTACTTCCCTTATTCTTCTCGTGCAGCTGAAAGTAATGGGGTCAACAGAAGAGTGATCTGAGGTCTATTTGGCAGGTCTTGTGAGATGTGAGAGCATCGATCCCCACTGCAGTGCAGATGTAGCCTGAAACTATAAGCTTGCCTTGTACTCTTCTGTGACAAAATATTGCTCTCCAGCACAACTAAGCCCTTTTCATACAGCACTAACAGACACTCAGCTACATAAAAACATACATATAATAGTACTGTACCATTAATCAGCTAACCTGGCTTGGTTGCCAATTGTGTCCAACATCACTCTGACATCAGGTGACAAGTCACCTTGCAGAATCTTCTCCTTAAAGTGCAAAGCATCTCACATCTACCCCTATTTAAAGATGCATTTAATCTACCAAGCCACCATCTCAGTTTAAGACACCACTTTGGGACAATTCCCGTAAGGAACCTCAATTTCACCTCCATGTGCCAAATAAGGAGGTTAAGGATTAATCGACTATCCGATAAGCAAATGCTTATCCGATAGTCAGTTGAATAGTCGATTCCCTCTTCCCCCACTTGCTGCCTCTATCAGATAGAGGCAGCAAAGGGAGGGGGGAAGAAGGGGTACTACACAGTAGCAGCACCACTCAGCTGAGCCAGAGATCAGCTGTGTGGCGCTGCTGCTTTGAAACCCCAAGACAGCATTTCAAAGGGGCAGCCACAGCTCAGCTGATCCCCGGCTCAGCTGTGCAGCGCTGCCCCTTTGAAACTCTGAAGCAGCATTCAAAGGGGCAGCATTGTGGAGCCCAGGGTCAGCTTGGGACTCCCCACCCGGCCCCGGGTTTCATATGGCATTTCCCCAGCACCCAGGGTCAGCTGGGGAGTCCCCAGCTGATCCTGGGCTTCATGGTGCTGCCCCTTTGAAACACTGCCTCAGGACTTCCCTCTGGCCCGAGGCTGCATGCAGTATTCCATATTCCTTCTTTGAAGCATTCAAAAGCCCCAGCGAGAACTCCTGTACATTTCAAAGCAGGAATCCAGACGTGCCTACTGACTAGTCAAACAGTCGATGGAAATTCCGTCGACTACTCGACTAGTCAATTAACCACAGTTTAACATCCTTAATGCCAAGAACAAGCTTCACATATAACCAATTCCTATCTTGTGAGAGATCCACTAGTCCAGTCCTCTGGTTTTGACATTCCATGCCTTCTTTAGATAAAGCTCAACTGCTTCACCTGTGGAAGCATTAGATACACTGCTTGACTGGATCATCTATGTACGTATAACTGCTGTATGCTATTGGGATGTTTGACCTTTGTGTGGTATAGAGGGAAGCAACTGGATGCAGTCTTCTTGGTGAGAGGTCAGATGAGTCACAGAATAGGTTACTGAGGTTTAGGAGTTCATCTTTTACATGTGGGTATGATACAAAATTATTAATATTTCCAATTAACATTGTTTCTCCCCACCATTTTTTCAGCCTCTTCTGTAGGCTCTGGAGGAGATATCTTGACCTCAGATTCCTCTTGAACTGCTGCTTCCGTCTTTCCAGTTCTCCTTGCTAAGTTGGGTTTAGGTCTCTGCAGGCGTCCTCTTACTGATGGCTTTGCAGCAGCAGCTTTTTCAGTTTCCCTTAAGATACAACAACAGCCTATAATCACTGCAAAGAAATCCAGTACTTTATATAACCAACTGTATCCTCCAAAAACACATTATCCACATAGTCCATTACAAATATAACAAAAAGAAATCATTACTTTGTTCTACACCGCTTGTGGATATGCTTTATTTCTTGAAAATACAGAATGTTTTTAAAGTAAGAACAGTGATCGTATAGTGGGTTTTGGCACAGTATGAGATCACAACTTCCATGAGAATGCTAGAATATATAGCAGTTGCTGAGTGGCTTAAAGATTTTTTTGAAATTTTTTTAAATTATGTTATCATTATTTGAATTGTATTGGCTTTTCTTTTTAAACATAAACCTATTTAAAATGAATTTAAATTTAACACAAAATAACTTAGTCCTAAATCGATAATCTCTTAAAACAATTTTAAAAATGACCCAAAACTGTTTTTTATATAGGAAAGCAGCCTATAACACAATCAGGAGGAAAGCATGTATCTTTTGAGCTCAAGCTTAATAAAGATACCATAATTTAGGGTAAATTAGAGCTAAATAACACAGATCACTGGGAGCCAAGACTGGTGGCTGTAAAACTTTATGAGACCATGGGAAACTTAGCCATGCCCATAATAAAGTAGAGATCTGGCTAACTAAAATCATGCCAGACCACGGATGGTGCTGGACCAGAAAGTGCCAGACTAGAGAGGTTCAACCTGTACTAGACTAATTGTGATTTTGCAACAAGGCAACTAGAAAAAAGGCAGGTTGGTGGGTCTAACTCAATCTCTGTCAATCAACAACATTTTTTCCCCTTTCACTAAGGAAAGTATCCTGACAATGAACCTTCAAGATCTTGATACACTAAGTTGCACAGGCTGTAATTTGCACTAAAACCAAAATAACCTGCTTATCCCTATGCAATATTTTGAAGTTTACTATATCATTCTTTGGCAACAGAAACTTGATTTTAAAAATACTTTAAATAGAACTAGGAGGAACAAAAGTCCACCTGACGTGCCACGTGAACAGCTTTTACAACACACATAGGGTATGTCTACACTACCACCCTAGTTCGAACTACGGTGGTATTGTAGGCAACCGGAGTTGCAAATGAAGCCCGGGATTTGAATTTCCCGGGCTTCATTTGCATATTGCCGGGCGCCGCCATTTTTAAATGTCCGCTAGTGCGGACTCCGTGCCACGCGGCTACACGCAGCATGGACTAGGTAGTTCGGATTAGGCTTCCTATTTGTGGAGTAACGGTAGTTCGGAATAGGCAGCCTAATCCGAACTACCTAGTCCGTGTCGCGTGTAGCCGCGGGCTCGGAGTCCGAACTAGCGGACATTTAAAAATGTCGGCGCCCGGCAAGATGCAAATGAAGCCCAGGAAATTCAAATCCCGGGCTTCATTTGCAACTCCGGTTGCCTACAATACCACCGTAGTTCGAACTAGGGTGGTAGTGTAGACATACCCTATGTGTGTTGTAAAAGCTGTTCACGTGGCACGTCAGGTATGGGTGGTAGTGTAGACATACCCATACTTACTCTCACCCCCAAAATAGAGAAATATAGGTTTAACTCTTACTGGACTACTATTGCTAAACAGAATAATTCTACTCACATTATTTCAGACTGAGAATCATGGCTTTTTCCTGCTGTACTCGTTTTTTCATCTGGTCTATATAAATCACATACTTCACTGTTCTATGTGGAAACAAAATAATATTTAGAACTCCTGATTCCTGCAACACTCAAGAAATTCTTGGTGCCAAATTGAAGTGAAAACAAGGCTTCTCTTTCACCTTTCAGTTAAATTGAGTGATATATTCTAGTACTAAATTTTAACTATTGTTGGCTGTACTTCTTAAATAATCTTTCCATTAGAGACTATTAGGCATTCTTTATATATATATATATTAAGCAAGAATAATTACAAAAAGCAAGAGTAATTTCCTGTATTGTTCTTGATCAGATATAGCATAATATAAAATCTACCTGTTATACGAGAACAAAAGCATTTCTGCTTCATAAAATTATTTTTCCTCCTTTTATCTACAGAGATGTTTAATCACATAAATATCATCCAAAGGATATATTTCCTATACTAGCTAGTATGATATTTTCAAATCGCAAAGGAAACTGAGGGCATCAAATTCAATTTATTTAACTACAGAACACCTAATCTACAATATAAGAACACTTCTGATAGTAACATAAGCATTCCGATAGGGATTACTTGAGACTCTGGACTTTTATTAAGATTGTCCTTTCTGTTAAAATTTGACTATGCGGTTATACCAAGATGACCTGAAAACACATAAAAAGTAAAACTCCGATGGTCTGGCATCTGATGGTCCGGCACTCCTGATGGTCCGGCACCATCAGGAACCCGGAAGTGCTCCGGGCAGCCGGTCCAT